TCTTCTTATGGAGCAAAATGAAGGGAGCTTTGGTCAAGCCGAGCAAAAAATTCGTTCAGCTTACGCTGCCATTGTGTAGCTTCAGGATCTAGGTCATTAGAATGGGCAGAAGCACAACTGTCATTGCCTTGTTGATGCTTGTTCTGTAAACTTTTCCCCGCACAAATATCTAAAATAAACACACTATCGTCTGAAAGACCCTCGGTCCCGCCTGTGGAGACGGAGACTGAGCGTGAGGTATAGGCTACACACGGTGCCGGTTCGGTCAGAAGATCTAGGCTGATCGGGCGGCAAGGTGTTGCCATGGAGGGAGGATAAGCAGGATACCCATTGTGCGGCAACGGACTTGTCGTTTCACTTCTTTGCCGCTTTGAAATGCTACTACACTTTCTATGCATATTCTTTTTGTAATAGTACCACAATAATTTGTTTATATTAACTTCAAAAATGGGAATAAATATAAATACAGAATAAAAAGTGAATCACAGAAAAATAATTATCCCCTCTTCAAATAGATATTCAGCATCGATTATCTACATTTGAAATGAAGTTGAATCGATTTGATCGCAACATATGCAGTTGCAACTTAGTAATCCGAATGATGAAATCAGAGTGAAAGCTACATGTACATATCTATTTAAGTAGTGATATACTTTACATTCATTACCCCATTAGGAAACGAAATTATCTCTTTGAGACTTGGTATTATAAATCTAAAAGATAAAATAATGTTTGATATTACAGAGTCTGAGGGAGTAGCAGTTAGAAGCATATAAGGTAAAATATTTTAGATTATGGGTTCTACAACACGATGAAAAAGTAAGCGTCCGTCTGTGCACCCGATAACAAGCACTTCCTCGTTGTTTTTTACCCCAACACTAATGCAGCTAATTTCATGAATCGGCGCCTCGTGCAACTCATCATCACGATTAGCCGCTGTAATACCAAGCCGCATTGCTCTTCCATCACTTCCAGCACGCAGTAAGATAATGCTTTTATTTATACAAACCATGTAATGTACAAGATGGAAAGAGTGGTGGTAGCGGAGATTCGGACGTTTAATCTTTGTGAGAACAAAACTGGCTTGCGTTGGGGATGAAATTTCACGAACACTTACACAATACATTGTTTCAGTACTATCGATGCACAGTAATGAATCCTTAACTCCTCTACACTTTGCCGCCGCTACTATAGGATGGGAATGCTGATATGATGTCCGCTCAAGCCCTTTCGAAAGGTTCCACAACCGCACCCACTGCCCCTTTTCAATAGTGTAGGCGAATTGTTCCAGGAAAGATGCAAAAATGAATCTCCCCCCACCAATAAGCTGAAAACATACACCAGGGGTGCCAATTTTGTACACGATCATCCGACTTCGACCGTGGTAACTATACGTCAACCCCAAATACGAGGGTTCGCTCTGAGAGGAATACAAATGTGCATCCACTTCCGGATCCCATAACAATTCTTTTGGGAGCGGGCGCGACGTGACAGTTGCCGGCGTAGAGGGGTCGTCATCTTCAGGGAGGTTGAGGAAGAACACACACGGGTTGACATGGTTGACATAGGCAACAAGCCTCGGCCCCGCCACCACCGCGGTATGCACGGGTGCGTCTTGCATTTGGGGCTCCACCACGCGATCAAGTCGGGCTCCAGACTGTGTTGAAAAGACGTAGAGCCGCCCGTTTCGATCTACACAAGCGACAAGATGAGACCCCGGAAATGGGCTCATGGTGACGGTTTTGATGCCACAACTGGACACTCGACCATTCCAAAGGCAGTCACTATTAACTACCTCACTTTTTGTTTTTTGCACAGGCGGGAGCGGATTTATGATTGGATCAAAAACCTTGACCCCCCCACCGCTGCTGAGGGTGGCGTAAATCACTTTATTGTGTTCACACATCTGCGTAAAGACACCATCCTGTGCCGTGAGGGCCCCTATGGGTGTGCCGCTTTCGGCATGCCAGACGACTGCGTGCGGACCCACACGGCCCATCAGGAGGCTGTCGTTGCCGCTCATCCAGGCGTCCGGGCTCACCCTGCCGTGTTCCTCTCCAAAAGGGTTCAGAAGCCGCGAGAGGAGCACCCCTGTGACGGTTTGCCAGACCATTGCCCCATCTCCTCGCTCCACCATCAACGCCATGCCCGTCGGGTTGAAGGAGAGCCGGGCGATCCGCCCAAGCGAGGGGTCCATTTGATGGAGCAGTGTGCCATTGCGCTTCCACAGCCAAAGCACCCCGCGCACCGCCGCCGCAATGAGTTGCCCATCGTTCGAACAGTCCACCGCCCCGACCAGGCCGTCGTGTAACAGCGCGACCTCCCGGGCCTGGTCGAAGAGGCGCACGGCGTGGCCCTCCACGAGCATCGGGTCCGGCCCACAGAACCCCCCACGACGGGGTCGCCCCGTGAGCTGGGGCGGGGGCAGGTCCCGTGTCTTGAGCCGTTGAGTGACGCTGAAGACGGCGAACCCGGTGCTGTGGGCGGGATGGGCCGCGATGAGGGCGTCGCCGAACATGTCCAGCGAGCCGGTCGCCACCGCCGCGGAGAGATCCTCGAGCAGACGCGAGACGTTGGCGCCGAAGTTCCACAGGAAGACTTGTGTGGCTGCCAACACCACAACCCGCGGTCCGATCCCGACCAAGGAGCCTAGGATGGGTTCGCCAGAGGGGGTTTTGAAGGGGGAGTCAAGATGCGCGACCTCGGCAAGGGTCTGGGTGTGGTACACCGTGACGTCGCCCGGGGTCGACGCGACTAGATAGTCCCCACGACAGTTAAGGTGAATGACCGGTAGCCTGGAGGTACAGGTCAGCGTCGCCGAGCTTGGGTCGCCCACATGTGTTTTCAGAGGGACAAGCACGGAATACGGCACGCCGCCACTACCACAATTCAGCAGCTGGCGAGCACTTTGATATAATTGGGATTCATTATGTGATAGTAGGCAACGCTGGAGGAATCCCGGTCCCCGAGCTAGCTGTACATCTCTTAGAGAGCATTCAATTTGTTCGCGATCGAGAGTAATACACATGAGGGGCTGACCAACGGAAGCTAGTTTGTCCACTAGGTCACACGCACTAATCAGGCGAAAAAAGGCTCCCATTACGTGGTAAAATCCTTGATTTTTGTGGCTAAGCATGCGATCGATCAAATCCGCATCATTTAGGAGATCTACCGCGGCATTAAAGTTACCATTAATTAACATAAGAGGAATTAAATGACGGAAGTTGTGATGAACATCCAGATATTGACGAGTCATGAGATGCAAGTGCGTCTCTACGGCTACACTAACAAGATCTAATTCACAAGCGTATTGATGAAGCACAATTGGAGTACATATCACGTAATGAGAGAGATGTGCTTTCGCTTCACTATCAAACTCAACTATACTAAAGTCGACTAGATTCAAAAGGGCTGGAACAGAAGTACGCGCTGGACAACGTCCTAGCTGTTCGCACACCTCTTCTATATCAGTCACACCTAAAGGACTTATTGTGAGAGACAAAAGAATCCACGAAATAGTCATTTGCCCGTACACCGCGGCGACGTTCTGAAAAGAGAAGCGTATAAGCTCCTCCACACTGTCTGGAAGTTGTTTATGGATAAGAAGGGCTGCATCTTCTTCATTTTTCACAGCGTTGATTTCCAATAAATGTTTTGTGTAAGCAGCGGCTAGACGACTATAGAACATTCGGTGCGAGTCAGATTTTTGCGCATAGTTTTTCTCCGTTGGACCAAGGCTGTACTTTGTTTGACCCTGCTCGACACCCGGCAGGCAAAAACCTCGTTGCATCAACATATTGCAGTAGGCGTCGACACTTTCAACATCATCAGCGGGATAGACCAAATATTCCAACGGTTGCGGTGAGCGTTGACGGAGGTAGTGGAGTAGGTTGGGATCGGTATCAAAGGATAACACAACGCGCAGCCTCGGTGGCAGAAGCGAAGGCACCCAATCGACACACGTCGTATCCTCCATTCCACAAAGATCCAGCTGATCCACACGCGAAACGATCAAAACGACTCGTTTCGGGCCACCGTAGGCTGCGGCAGCCTCCTTGACAGCCAACTGCAGCGCCATCGCGCTGTAGTAATGCCGCTGGGCGGCCGCTGGACTGAGGATCTGAAGTACATTATATAAAAATGTCACCACATCACCATTTGGGCTGTCGATTTCGAGAAAAATCACACTGTACTCATTCGAATTGATTTCAAAGTTGTGTGCTAGGTGTCGCAAAAGCTCACTCTTGCCCGCCCCTGCCACGCCATAGATAAGTAGTGATGATCCTGTTTCTTCAGGGGCTGATTGGATATATTGGAGCATGATTTTCGACAAACGCTCGACGCTAGCCGAGTCTGGTTTCACAACTGTCGACATTGGACGTCGGCTTAAATTTATCCTTTGAGGCATTTCACTAACAGGACCTGTAAGTTCAGTGCTAATGTTTCGATCTTCATCGCTGTCAGCTAGATACACGCTCCGCAACGAGCTAAGAAGATCACTTTGACATCGGAGCTTGTATATTTCTGGCGTCAGCACATATGCATTGCGTTGAGTCATAGATGCCCACTTGATACACTGTTGATCACCACACCCCGTTAGAGCCAACCAAGAACTAGGGGGGAGAGCCAAACTAGTGATTGGTTCTAAATCATTCATAGGTTTGCACTGTGTAGGGTAATACACAAATAGGCTTTCCGCCAGACCGGACCTCTCACTTTTATCAAGCGCTTGAACGGCGAGGACCATATCCAAGGCCAGTTGCTGAGCTTTCGTGAAAGGGGTGCCATCTAATAATACCACAGACCACACACGTCTCTCGGGATACTCTTCACAACAGTACTGCACCTTTTTTAGTATACGTTCTTCGGTTTCGTCTGCATTTACCATGATTGAAGCAAGACGCCGCCGAAGCGCAGCCGCTTGGTGTGAAAGCATCTGAAGAACATGTCGTTTGTAAAGCTCCATTTGCCCATCGTTGGGACTAATTAATAAAACGAACGTAGTATGCCATTTAGAGACCCAATTGATTGGGCTGCGTTGCACGCGCCGAGAGTGGTCCAGCCTCTCACGGTTTTTCGAGAGTTGATGGGTCAACCGCTCCGCCCATTCTTCTGGGAGATCGCATTTGTCCAGGCGCACTTCCATGAGGCCGTGGATCAACCTGGCCGTCTCCCACAGGGTTCGCATAGCGGGCACGGAGAGGCTGCTGTAGGACAAATCCACATAGTGTAGGGATTGATGCCCGCTTTTAAGGATCTCGCACAGGTGTTCCACACAGGCGGTATCTACATCATTTTGTGGTAGAATGAGTCTTCGTAGACAACGGTGTTGGGAGGTGAGGTCCAGGATCGCCAGCACCCCGGTGCGGCCGATAAAGGTGTGGGAGGCGTCGATCGCGTCCACCAGGACGACATCCGGTCGGTCGACCTGGGCGAGGATCTCCTTGTTGGGTTTTGCCTTGCGTCTGTGACAGCATTGAATATAAAGTTCCTTTCCACCATGCAATGCCCCTTCCATGGGATAGAGTTTCTATGAATTTAAGAATCTAACGGATATAAGTGCTTTTACTCTATTCGAGGGGGGGGGGGGGGGGCGTCTATTTCGAATCCAATACACTCGATTTACGGGAAAGATAAAAAAACACCAAATAAAAAGAGATCCAATTAAGATTTGACTTACTCCCAATTTATGCTTCAGGATGGAATACATACGACACAAACAGGACAATAAGGACAGAGAATTGTGTAATAATTAGTACGGATAATAAAAGGAGAGAGGAAGGGAGAAGTGCTACTCTGTGTAGCCGCAAGCAAGTGGTTTACAAAGACCGCTGTTTGATTTTCCTGCACCTGTAGTTGTCATAACATTCGGATCCTTTTCATTATAAACGAATAGTTTCACCTTTCTGAAGGCTCTTACACAAAGCTCTGATCCTCAAAGGAGGTTAATATTACGTGCAAAGAAAAAAAAATACTCAGAAAAATATTGACAAATCGAAGAATTCTTAGCAGATTTTCCTAACTGCTTCGTAATAGGTGGTGCTTACAGTAAAATGTCTTTGTTAAGTCAAGCTAACTGCATATCGGCATTATAAGAGGAATCAAAAGATAGCATCCAAAGATTTGTTCTGAAAAATCTGAAGAGTGTCTCCATGATAAGGATGTGCAAACCAAAAGGACACATTATTGAAAACGACTGCACACAGCGACGTGCTAAGTTCAAGGTTCACAGTGTCGTGTTATTACGAACGACATAAAGGGTTCCTTTAATATTTGAACGAAAAAAAATGCGTTGTAACCGATTTGGGAGGGTTTCATTGAACAGGCAAGAAAGTATTTTGAACCATAAAGATTCCGCCCACAAGAGCATTAAGAGTTTGAAGCAAAATCTTAATGCATCAAAAATCTCTCTCCTGGGGAGCTGGTTAAGACTAACAGATCAAAAGGCATGCACTTTCACGACTAATATACCGGTATTATGGTACAATAAGGCTAGAAGTTGTCACGTGATGTGTAAATCACCGCAACTTGGATGTACAACTTCGATAATTATCCATCAATGTTAAACTAATGATGGTAGTAAAGATTACCATATGTAAACCTAAAAGCTTCTTTGTGTTACTGCTCCATAAGGTGCGTATTTATTGTTGTTTACACACACATATCTACACACGCAAAATAAACAACTATGTCTACAGGTACCTTTTTGCACGACTTCGCGTGGTGTGACGGGTTAAATGTTAGGATTAATAAAATAAGAGCTTATAAGACAATTGATTATAAATGAATTTAACTTGACATCACAGGACATCTCAAGTTTCTATCATAAAGTGCATTTTTAATGGATTCATATTTACTAACCACATTACGCTCCCAAAAATAAAAAAATGAAGAACCATAACATTGTACTCTCATCTGCTCTTTGTCTACAGTAATTAAGCAAATATTTTCCTCCTTTTGATTAAAAATCTAATACTTTTATTCGATATAATGAATATCTATATTTCTCTCTTTCTTTCTTTTTTTCTCTCTATCTATATATATTTATTTATTTATCGCTTGCCAAAAAAGACCATTTGTTATTGCAGTAGTTGTATGCACTACAAATATTGCATTAAATATCAAGTAAAAATTGTGAACTTACTTATAGTACATGTTCCACAAAGCAACAAATATAAATCATTAATAATTTACTAACTGACCATTCTAAAATATTGAGGTTCATTACTCAGAGCACCACACAACAGAGAGGGATCATTGTATATGCATATTTTACGATGTCACACTCCTTTTCGTCCCAATGGGAGCTGCAGTAAAATAGATCCCCCCCCTCCCCCCCAATTGCATTATTTCAGAACAAAGAATACCTCAAAGATTAGACTTTATTGAACCCGGAATCCCCATCTTATCAAACATCATTTCTTGTTCTTGACGAGCCTTTATTTGTTCATCCGTTTCATTGTTTTTTGGTAATGAGGGAAGTAGCTTCCCCGGGTTGCAGATATTCTTTGGATCCATCTTTTTTTTGATTGTCATAAGTAAGTCTATACAGCCGCTTCCCATGAAGCGACACATCCATGGTACGTGTTCGTAGCCAATGCCATGATGATGAGTCAGGTTTCCTGTAAATTTGAGCATCGCATCCATGGCACGTTTCTTGATTTGTAAGAAGATCTTCATATCGTTATCGTCCTTCTGTGAACTGGCAAATGTAAAATACAGACAGCATCCGTGCTTATACTGATGCGCTGTGTGGCATCCAATCCACCCATGCTGACCGTTTTCCTTCCAAATTTTCCTCACGGCCTCCTTCACGGCACGCCAGCAGGAGATCGCATGGGAATACAGCACGCTCGTTTCAAACACATCTGCCCAATGCGTAAGAGAAAGACTGAAATCCCTAACATAGGGTAAATCATATTTCTTCTCTTGCCACGAAGCCCCTGGACTCTTGCCAACCCCGAAACCACCAAACTTTTTGAATACACCTGCCACCTCCTTGCGCTGGAACTTCACCCGCTCTTTGGTGCCTTCGCAACCCAAGATAACAAGGCTCACCTTTTGCATATTCCACCCTTTTACAGACTCGAGGTACGTTTTGATGCCCTTGTGCGCTAGCGTCTCTATCGGGCCGTGCATCGCTGTACTCATGGCGCTGCTTAGACGGAAATCATCCTCATCATATAGGCGCATTGTACATGGTTTGATGCCTTTAGTATTGCATTCAAGAAAGGCATTGAAGGCAGATTCGAAGGTGGGGAAAAGATAGCCTTCGTAATATTTCGATTCGGGTATATCTTCTACTTTTATGGTGGCCTCCGTTATAATACCAAAGGCTCCCTCGGAGCCGATAAAAAGATCATTAAGACCAGCTCCACACGTCCGAGAGGTCACAGGCGTTTCGATGATGCCTGTTGGGGTGGCCACTTTCAGTGCTATCACCATGTCTTCAATATCGCCGTATTGATTCGACATCGCCCCGCTACCCCGTGCCCCAATCCATCCCCCAAGCGTCGAGTACGTGTAGCTATCCGGGTCGTGACCGCACATCAGACCGTAGCCAAACAGCTGTCGGTCGAGATCCGGACCCAGCACGCCGGTCTCAAACGTGGCCATGTGGGATTCCTTGTTGATCATCAACATTCGATTCATGCGGCGCATATCGACAGAAACGATCATGCGGGTCTGCTCCATCGGGTTCGCCTCGACGCCGCCCGTGACGTTGGTGCCGCCCCCAAAGGGGATAATCACCACGTTGTGCTTATGAGCTAACTGGACAATTTTGACACAGTCCTCATGGTTGTTAGGGAGGATAATGCAGTCTGGGGCCTTCTCGATAATCCCTTTACGGATACGCCAAAGATCCCGGTAGTTTTTCCCCGCAATGTGACACAGGCGACTCATGCCATCGGGCCGTACCTGAGTCTTGTCCAATGCGGCGGAGATTTCCTTCAGAAAGGCCTCGTTAATATATGGTGTGTTGAGCTTTGCGATCGCCTCCTTTACAGTGATGCTTGGTGAAAGAGAAGGCACCTCCTTGGGACCAACGCCGCCGCCGATCTCTTCATGAAGGAAGTCCAGGATTTTTTTGATGGGCTTGCCATCTACGTGGCGAGCCCAAAGGGCATGATCGGGGTCTAACTTCATCTCAACACCATAGTCACCCCAACCATTCCACTTTATTTTTTCATATATTTCTGGTTGCTGACAAGATGAATTTTTTGAGTTTGACTCAGCTTTGAAGGCACTTTTCTCCGTCATTTTCTTTTTTTAGTTTGATTTTGGAGAATCTTGAAGTGTCTACTGAAAAAGGGAAAACCATATAGACAATACCTCGAAAGCATTGGGTTTTATTCAGGAAATCGTTTCAATGTTAGATGTATACGTAACGCCAAATGAAAAAATCGACATTTTTATTCGAAACTAGAGACCAGAGCGAAGCTTGAAATCAAAAGAAATTAATCATTCAAAAAATGAAATTCCTTATTCCCTCTTCCCGAAATCCAATAAAAATAATATCACAGACTGTGTATATGTGAATAATGTACGTAGTATAGGTAAAAACAATTTGGTGTCTTTCAGCACAAGGTGGTCCACATTTATTTCCAAAGCAAAGAGATTGAGACTCACCAATTATTATGGCCACATACAATTTCTAATATCTTCATGGCTGCTTCATAACGCCAACCACTCATCGAAAATTGAGTCATCGCTCCAACGGAATCCACTGTGTCGTGCTGTGCAACCTCCCTCATGGTGTGAATGCACTTACGCAGCTGCCTGATTTTATCCGAAAAATCCCGCGGCACACTGCACTTTATCATTTCATCTTCAAGCGCACTTAAGCAGAAAAGCGTCAGATGTGAGTTAAAGCCGAAATAAGATGCCGTTTTACGTCGCTGCTTGGCGTCTCGTGAATCGACATCTTTTCTCAGAAGCGGAAAAATAACTTCATCTCGAATACTGGAGGAGCCGTTAAGGAGCATCATCATGCGGTCGATGCCCATGCCCCAGCCTGCTGTTGGCGGAAGACCTACCTGTAGGGCTTTGAGGAATACAGCATCTAACACCATTGTCTCGTCATCACCTTGTTGTCTGTCTAAAAGTTGCTGCTGAAAGCGGTAATACTGTTCGTGCGGGTTGTTCAGCTCACTGTACGCATTGCAGATCTCCATACCGTTGATAAACAACTCGAACCGCTCTGACAGCCCCGGACGCGAGTCGTGTTCCTTCGCCATGGGGCTCATAAACAAAGGGTGATCGATCACAAAGGTCGGCTCCACAACTCGTTTAACTATAAAGAAGTCGATAAGTTTATTGAACATCTGCGCCGCTGTTCTTACAGGCGGAAGGGGAATGTCATGTCGAAGCATAATCGCTGCCATATAGGCGAGGCCTCTTGGTGTGTTGAGCTCCAAAGGCGGTGGCAGCTCCACCCCCACCACACGCTGGATCTCGTCGTAGGCGCTTACCCGATGAAACGGCCGCATTAGCTCCACCTGGACCCGCTGTCGACCCCCCTCCCCTGAGGGCAAGTTCAGGGTGGTGGCCCCGTTCACCCGCTGTGCCAGGTGTCGCAGGATGGCCTCCGTCATCCCCATGAGGTCCTCATAGGTGTGGTAGGCCGCGTAGATCTCGCAGCTGGTGAACTCGGGGTTGTGACGGCGATCGGCGTCCTCGTTGCGGAAGACACGGCCGATCTCGTACACCCGCTCCATCCCCCCCACGACGCACTGCTTGAGGTGGAGCTCCGGCGCGACGCGGAGGCACAGGCTGTGGTTAGTGTCATGGTGGTGGGTGAGGAAGGGTCGGGCGTTGGCGCCGGAGGGCACCTCGTGCAGGACGGGTGTCTCCACCTCCACGAAGCCGAGTTCGTCCAGGTAGCCCCGCAGGGCCCTGAGGGCGGCATGACGCTGGCGCAAGTTCCGCGGCAGGGTCGGGCTCGTGAGCATGTCGAGAAAGCGGTAACGGTACTTCAGGTCGCCGTCGACGATGGGGAGGAATCCTTTGAGGTTGGGACAGATGGACTGGTCGGTGCACACGTAAGGGGCCAGGATAACAAGTTCTTTGGCGTACAGGGACAGCTCCCCTTTTTCGGTACGAGCGGGAACCCCGACGGCGCCGATGATATCTCCGGTTCGGAGGGTGGTTTTTAACTTTTTAAGGTCGTCCTTATGAAAGTCGTGGTCTACCTGACGCACCACCTGCAGAGAGTGGTTGTCGCCGTGGATGGTCAGGAATAGTATACGACCCATATACCGCAGGCTCACAACGCGACCGCCGATTCTTTCGCAAACGTCATCCATCTTTTGCCCCGCTGTTAGGTGATCGTAGCGTTGTAAAAATTCCTTGAGAGGCGTAACTTGACGAAAGGACGTGTATGAAGTGGGCATGTCAAGTATGTTGCGTGCAAGAGGTGAGGTCTTCTCAGGGGCATGATCAGACAAGTTAGAACCTTTAATGCCTTTTATTTTCTTTCGTTCTCGAAGAGAGTTATCTCGCTCGCTTCCGCGTGGGAGGCTACCTTCAGATGGTGCGGTTGGCAAAGAGGTGCATGTGGGGTTAGAATTACTAGGGAGAACTTGTTGTTGGGGGCTTTGCACAAGTTGAATAGGAAAAGGGGCTTGCTGGGAGAGCTTATCACCATTATTATTATTATTATTATGGGTAGTCAGTGAGGAAATTCCATGGAAGTGACAACGTTTTACCGAGGAAAGAACCGGCAGAATACAAGTGGCTGTTGTGATGAGAGCCTGACGCATTATGGGATGCACTTGTCGTTAGCCAAACGTAGATGACAATACGTAAAAGGCGAGGTTGAGAAGCGCACTTTTGTCATATGATTGTTAATTCACGTAAGGTGATTCAACCGTTTTGGCAAGAAAATGGAAAATCTGTAGCAGTAATCAAACTGTTTTACTTCTAGATAAACTTACATAAAACAAAAAACAATCGAGAAAAAAGCACAGAAATGATATTGAATGTTGTTCAGTACCATACAGTTAGTTGTGCATAAATAAAATCTTATAGCAATTTCCTGTTTGTCTCCAGTGCAGACTAAATAAAATAATGCTAGGCAAGTTTCTTTTAATAATAAGTCTAAAGTCAACACAATGAATGTGTGAACTAATGAAAATAAGGCAAGCATGATAAAAAAAATCCAGCACCCTGATTGTTTTAGCCTTATCTATCAGTATTAATAAACCTCCCATGTAATAACAAACGAAAAAAAACGAGTCAGCCTCTGTCCCCTCAAAGATTTTACATGGTAAAAGCATATCATAAGTACTAATTCGCTTTGTATCTATATGTTACTCAGTAGCGGTAATTCATAAAGTAAAACTTGAATGATAGACTCAAGACCATATGGAAGAAGACCATAAGCCCTACAAAAATAAGAAACGACCTTTGATCAAGGGCGCTCTTCAACATATGCCATAAATTACTCAAAATATACACTGCTGACCACATCCCGCAAAACATAACTACAACCCACTGAACCATATTAATAGGAATCATGCAAAGTAGCGCCGCAATGATAAAAATAAACATACTGTAGCCATAGAGGCAGAGCGTGTCGGTAAGCGTGATGGGAAGATTTTTCCAGTGCATCCCCATCCACACCGCCGCCCCCAAGGCAAAGCAGTATAGATATATAACCATACACGCGACGGAGGCGACGGAGAAATCATAGGTCCAGGTCTTTGATGGGTCTTTTTCGTACTTAAAGTGGGCAATCCTGGCCATAATATTGCTCACCATCCCCAACAACATCCACAGCGTCGTGCAGATCCAGAACGGGCCGTACAAATCTGGATTTCGCGAGAGTACAATCCCGTCAATGATGAGATCCTCTTGGGGAATCACCTCGGACGGGGGGTTGTTCACCCCGACGTTATTTCCGGTCGCGTAATGCCAATGGCGGTCCATCAAAAAGTCCGGCGGGGTGATCGGTACGAGAGTATTGCTGATGCGAATAAGAACTTGTTGTGTAGTAATATCAAACAATTGCTGGTAGAACTCGATTGTCCAAAATTTCGAGGTCGCTTTGACTGCTTGCGAGGTTTGGGCGTTGGTGGGATGCGGGGTCGCCACCGCGGCCGTAGTGAACGATAAAGGGGGTTGTGGGGTTCCTTCCGCAAAGCCTTTTCCTTCTTTGTGGATCTCAGCGCCGTTGTAGGGAGTTCGAGTTAATACGGCGCCGCCATAGGTCGTCGGGGGCTGTGCGTTGATAGGATCGTTGATGTCAACCGAAATAATGGATGGCGGAAGGTAGCTGTCGATATTATTCATTTCATGTTCCTTGAAAGGGTCCTGAACCAAGTCTTTTTCAAAAGGATTCGACATTGATGAATCTTTTAGAATATATTCAACGGATTTACAAAAGCTAGAGTTTAAAATTGAAAATTTCGATATCTATTCCAAAAAGAGAGAGAAGGAAATGACTCATTAACTCAAAGGATCGAATGAAGAGCACAGCTAATCAGTGCAACTTTATTTAGAACTAGCAAACAATATGTAAATATCTGAGCATTTTATTTTCGTTTAGTAGGAAAACGTAAATCTTTTTTTTTTCAATCTACAACGATATTTTCAAGTTTCGCGTAATAAGATTAGGATATTACTCGATTAATTGTTATTATTGTTTAAAGAATGCAACGAGTTCGTGTCTTTATTGTACACATATTTAATGTACCTGCAAGACGCATGAAAAAAATAAAGACACTAACGAAAAGAAGCGGATCTTTAGCCGCGGTGATTTTCTTCTATCTCTGTCTGAGTCTCTTTGCACCATTGTAGGGTTCTGTATGCAATTTCTTTAAGACCAATCCGCAATCGAAGACATAGCATGTAGTTATCGAGTGCATGTAATTCATCGTCATGGTCATTCACTGCATCCGTTGATGGTTCTTCTGATATTTTCGCTAAGGCCGCTTTGTCGTCGTCGAGGGAGTCGGGGAACTGCTCCAAGATGGACTTCACCACATTCTCAACTGTTTGCACGATATTTAATTCTGTTGTGACCGAGAGCGCAATAAAAGGACTTTTGCTTTCCATTTTATCAAACTCCTCTGGCTGCGCGAGGTGCAGGCGGAGAAGTGCGAGCAATGCCTCACAGGGCACCCCATGCACCGCCAACCAACATTCACCATTAACGCAAAGATGATATTTTTCAATTAACCGACGTCGACGATGTCCCCACACGTCTTCCTCCTCAACAAGGGCGTCTTGAAGGGGAAAAGGCAACCTGTCGTGAACATTCTGGGGTAATACAAACCCATAATTATACAGCAGCTCCCAATTTTGCAAGGGCCCATAGCTCATCCACAATTCGCGCCCGATTTCTGATTCCTCCAGAGGCGCGCCCGCGAGCATGACGAAATCCCCCCCGCCCGATTCCACTTTTCGGACGAGCACGTCCGTCAGGTTTTGGTGGTTGAGCATATCAGCCAAGGGCACCATCGCGATGACGACATCGCCGTCAATGTTGAGGTTAAATGCGCGGGAGTTGAAGACAGCCTTCGCGAAGTGGATCCACTCCGCGGTGAAGATTGTTTTAAACCGTTCAAAGCTCCACTCACCCCGCATCGGGGCCAGATCTTCCCAGATAATTGGGAGAAAGAGCTCAATTGCGCGCGCGGCGTGCTCGGATTCCTCGCGTTGTTGGAGGACGATATCAAAAATATCCATTCCCGCTAGCTCGCAAAGGTCGCCGAGGTACCAGAAAAGCGGGACGGTGGGAAAGCCCCGAGGGCAGGACAAAAGCAGCTCCCGCCAGTGCGAGTGCTCGGCCCCGACGAGGTGAAGTTCGTAGAGAAAACCCATCACCAACAACACCTCGACGCTCTCGAGAAGATTTACCAGGCGAGGGTCCTTTCCGACGGCGACCCCGAGATCGCAATGCTTCAGAACCGTCTCGCGATAGAAAAGTTTGGATCGCGGGAGGCGGAAGAGCTCGCCAAACCCCCCCACACTTCCCCTACACACCAAACCCCCTTCGCCGTGATGTTGTGTTTTTTTTACCGCGATAACTTTCCCCGCTGTAGACTTTCCGGGGGCCTTCAAATCGTCGGGGCTGCACAGACGATGGAGTTGTTGGGGTTTAATATGCTTGATTGCGTGCCCCTCAAGTGCTGCCCAAAGCCCATTCTCTTCCTCGTTGTTTTCTCTTGTTTCTGTAGGGGCACCCGCACAGTGCGTTCGCTGCGAAAGGAATTGATAAATTATCTTGACCGCGTTTTGCTCATTCCACGGGTTGAGCATTTCAGAAAAGCCCGCGAGAAATCCCCCCCCGACTCGCTCCCAAAGCGAGCGGCCATCGCAGACAATCAAACGCGCTGCGCGTAGGGCCTTATCAAGGGTCCATAAAGTCCCACAGGCCAATCCCAGAGGATCCTCTTTTTCCTTCTCGTCTTTTTCTGTTTCATTTGTTTGGAAAGGGCGCGCGAGGTAAAACAACTTAATCTCCACACCCTCACAGTGCTTGAGCTTTAGGTTAAACCAATTGAGATCATCTTGGGTGACTCGCATCATGGTGTGTATGAAGTTCCTTTTTTTTATATTTTTTCTGAGTTTCTTTTTTTGTTGTTGGTAGCTTGCCCTGGAAGGGGTAGCCTACGACCACCGGTGCGCAAAATGAGCAGGGGGGTGATCGACTTCACGAAAAGAGAGATGAAGGGGGGGGGGAAAAAAAGGAAAAGGCAAGCACACGAACAGGCTTGTCTGAGGAAACGCCCGGGGGTTTGGTTTGGAGCTCAAGATATTCATTTTTAACTATTTCACACTTTTTAGACGTTCAATTTTCAGGCCTCAACGCAGAGAAATTTTTATCGCTTGCGATGGATTTTATACGCCAGGAACAAGCACTGTTTCAAGCGGAGCCGAATGAACTATATGATTTTGACGTTAGGAACAACAATAATATACAAACACACATCAGTAATCTTCCGGTATTTCATGATGTAAGTATCCTAGAGGATTCACGTTTTCAATGAATTTATTGAAATCTTTGCGCTGCGGATCCTGCACGAGGGTCACACTGTTTTCATTATTCCCGTCATTATCTTACCCCAAACTAAAATAATCCCTATCAGAGGGATTACAGGTATTTTAAGATTTAAGACGATAAAGGAGAGCTGCATTGTTATCAGGGAGGTGTTTTCCATTCGAAAGCCGCTGTCTTAGGCCTCAGCGGAGACCGCATCCCGCGCAAGAGGTCTTTCATGGCTTCCATACCAGTTCGCACAACCACTCCAATCTGCCAATTATGCACGGCACTATTCACACCATAGCCTTCCATGAAAGGATGACGATATGAGAAAGGTCATACCCCTTTTAAAACGAAGAATAAATTCTTTCGAAAGTACCTTACCTCGTTTTGGCTTTGCAGAACGGAATCTCACCTGAAAAGAAATCCATCTTCAAGGCCTTACCCTAGACGTCCAAAAGCGTTCACTGGGAGGGTTTCTAAACACCTTTAAAAGGTACTTTTTTAGTGTTCAATACGTGGAATTAATAGGATGCTTAGTAGTCATTGCTGTAGGCCTTCTCACACACACTTCCAAGCTTACTTATCCTTTTATATTCACTTGGAGCCGTTTTTGCAGGTGTTCGTATGGGAAGTGGGGGTTTTGTAGAGCAGGGGATTCACCACAAATCGGATAAACAAGTGAATGGACAGAAACGTTGAGATCGGTGCCGCATCGGCAGCATCATAGGACTCGCGGATGGTTTTTCATCCTATTCCCTGAGGTCGCTTCAGAGGGAGATAGACACACCCATGAAAAGGATCATCTTCGCCACCTCTAGAACGTTCTCAGTAGAATAATTCAAATGCAAAAAAAATATATAACGCTGAATCCCCCCTTTGAATCACATAGGGAATATCGCTTATCGGGATTTCTAACATCTTAACATCGCAGATATCCACGGCAGAGTAGGTATCCGATAACACCTTTTGTATTCCTTTAGTTTGGAATCAATGGAGAAAGCTCCCCAAAAGAATTAACCGATATTTTAAACGGCACGAACTCTTCTCAGTCTAATACAAGGGTTTGGCATCTCACAAGCACCATAATTAAAGTTGAAATATGGATTTCACTATGTAAGAATACTACTATTAATAACGACAAAAACTGAAAAAATAGCAGAGTAAAAGTTATGATCCGAAATGGTCGTCTAAATTCTTCAATATCATCACCAACCTAATCCTTTTAAATATTCTATGTAATCATTTTTCGATAACGTACCTATTCTAATAACTTAATAGCAAAAAGCAGGAAGGTGTACCTTTTAAGTTTTAGTTTGATCCCGTGAACTTTGCAATCGGAGGTATATAATTTATAAAATATAGTGAAAGAGAATATGAAAAAAGATATTAACTTATTTTTACCACAACATTAAGGTCCAACTATATTGTGAAAGCCCAACACTATATTTGATAAAGAAGAAAAAGAAGTAGCGCTTACAAAAGAAATGTAAAACAATACGTAGGACTTCATTTTTAACATTGTGAGAGGAAAAAGGTTGAACCTCTACTTGTTAAAGCATTAAAAATAATCCATATAGAACCAAGAAAAGAGGCAAAGTAATGAACTAGACTACTCGGAAAAAAGATAGAAAATCATAGTGTTGATAAAACGACGTAAATATACCTACTTTTTCTTTGGCTCACTTATCTTTACATTTGCCATTCGTTCAAGAACTCCAACCACCGCTGAGTTATCCAAGTCTCCCTCACCGCACTGCACCATCGATTCATAGAGCTGCGTATGAATAGCAGCACTTGGCAGCGGCGCTCCGTATTCTTTCGCGGACTGCATTACAATATGCATATCTTTAAGTTGCAGGCTGGCCTTAAAACCTGGCTCGCGATTTCCAGCGAAGAGCCGATCTGGTTTGACATCGAGTGTCCAGCACTGCGCGGCGCCACCTTTAATTGCCTCCACGATGACATCACCAGAAACCCCAGATTTTTCAGCTAACACTAATATTTCCCCCATAGCTACCATCTGTGCTGCGACCATGATTTGATTCGCGGCCTTGCAGAGCTGCCCTGCGCCACTCTCGCCGATGTGCGTGATCTTTTTCCCTGTGGCCAACAACACCGGCCTCACCTTATTCAGAGCCTCTTCATTCCCTCCGACCATGATGGAGAGGGTTGCCTGCCGGGCGCCGAGGTCACCCCCCGAGACGGGCGCGTCCAAGGCCAACACCTGGCGGGTTTGCCATAGCCGCTCCGCGATCTCCTTCGACGCGGAGGCTCGGATCGTGCTGTTGTCCACGAAGACGCACCCCTCGCGAATCCCCTGCGCGACACCGTCCGCGCCAAACACGACTTCCATCACTTCCGGCGCGTCCGGCAGATTCGTGAAGACGACGTCAACGGCCGCCGCGAGCTCCGCAGGGGTTTGACAGGGCATGGCCCCCAGTCCAACCAGCTCCTCGGCCTTCTCCGGCGTGCGATTCCACACGTAGAGAGGGAAGCCCGCGAGGAGGATATTACGCGCGATGGACTTCCCCATAAGGCCAAGTCCGATGTAGCCCACCTTTATATTGTTCATCTGTGTAACAGAGGG